AACTGGGAAAATGAACAGCAGACCCCAATCTTACTTAAAGGAATATTGACAACTGATTGCTGCTAGATGAGGAACAGCTGACCTTCCTTAAACAAAGAGCTCTAGTCTAGGCCAACTAGATTCACCAGATGTACAAGTAGTGGGGATTGGCTGGGGGTGCTGACAACACAGCAGACAGTAGCAGGGATATCAGAGTGTAAGGGCTGTAGTGGGGGGAGGGAGGCTATGGGAGGGTTCCATCTGGGAAGTGGGTGTATAGTTGAATAAGATGGTTTGGGATGTTCTGTGTGATATACACACACACAAAAAATCAACAAATTTTAAAAAATGCATTATATTTGAGGAGGAAGCATGGAAATATATGTCATGTTAATCAGTAAAGGAGATAAACATTACCATTGAAATCTACCAGATGACTTTATAGACATATATAGGTGCCAAGGATCCAAGTGCAACCGATTATGTCTAGTAATAATCGGATACGCACAGATTAGAGATGCATGTGCCAGTTATCTCAGTGTTAGTAGCAAAAATAATGAGTCTTTCTGCAAGGAACCATATTTTCTAAAATGAAATGGAGATCTTTATCAAAGGTTAAAAACTCATTCAATTTTATGTCTTATGGGGCTTATACTGTGTTCAGTATTGTATTGTCGTAAGCCACGACTCTGTCCAGCAGAGCCGAGGAAAAACGACACAGACACCAAGGTGAGGTTCAAGCTTCTGTTTCTCTTTCTTCCTTTATTCTCTCTTATTCTTTCTCATATTCTCTTCACTATCTCACCCACTATGATGCTGCTTCGTTCTGTTCTCCTATATCTCTCACTTCATTCTCTCTCACTTTATTCTCTCTCACTACATTCTTACTTCATTCTCTCTCACTTCATTCTCACTTATCTCATTCTCTCTCACTATGATGCTGTCTCGTTGTTGCTGTAGTTATCTTCTTTTCTGTTCTGTTCTATATTACACACCTCAGCTGTTCATATAGCGTTTCCAACAGCCCTCCCTCTAGCCAGGACCAATCAGGGCACACACACGTGCAGCGGGCAGGCAGAGTGCAGCTCATTAGCCACGTAGCAAGATCATCAGGCTGGCAGCACCTGTTTTTGGGCTCACCATACTTCAGAGTTGGGGTAAACAAGCGGGATTCACGAGCCTTGGCAATCAGCCAAGAGTTGAAGTAAACAGCACAAGGTTTGGCAGCCAGCCAGGGCTCCATCTTTGGCTGGCTCGGCTGTGCTCGCTTCCCACATTGTATAACTGTATTAATTCAACTGTGAACCTAGAAGCTTACAGCCATTTGTGAAAGAGATGTACTCTTGCTGTGGAGTATGTTACTGAATATGTTAAAGCTGTAATGAAATGCTTCTTCTAATCATGTAATTATTAAAAATTAAAAAAAGGAAGAATCAGGCACACCTAAGCAAAGCTGAAGTCCAGCAAAGTAGCTCAAGGCTGGACATCTGGGATTTACTCCCAATCTTCTGGGCTCCAAAGGGTTCTGGCAGCTCCACTTCTCTGACTCTGCCATCCTCAGCACACAGAGCTCGTCTTGCAGACCCAGGCCAGCTCCATTCCACACCTCCTGCTGTCCTTGATGGTTGTCCCATGGTCCTAGCATCTCCAAAAAGCTGGGGTCTCCACTGATACTGAGGCTACACCTTCACCAATGGCCTCTTCTTGTCTCTCAGGGTGCAAAGCCCCAGATTCTCTCCATGACCCCTTCATCCTGGGGTCTTCACTGCAACTGAAGCTGCACTTTCACCATGGCCTTTCCTGGCCTCTCAGAGTGCCAAGCCTCAGCTGCTCTCTGTGACTCCTTCATGCTTTCAACACCAGAAACATGCAGGAGACTCTTACACATTACCAAGTCCTGCTTCTAGCTTGGGTCCCCTCTACGTTCTGACTCTGAGGAAATACCTCCCAGAAGATTTCACCTTAGTGATGCTGATATCTTGTTACTTACAGCTGATTTTTCAGCCCCAGCCAACCAGAACCCACAGATTCTCAATTCAAAATATCACATGAACAGCCCTGATAGTCTCCACTTCCCTTTGAAGCTTCACAAGCCAGGCTTTCATCGACAACTCTTTCAGCAGAACTGTTCCAAGCTCCACAGCTACAAGCCCTGAGCATTCAATGGCTTTTCCAGCCCAAAGTTCCAAACACTTCCACAGTCCTCCCAAAACAACTGGGTCAGGTCTGTCACAGCAATACCCTACTCTCTGGTACCAATTTCTGTTCTAGTTTGTCTCTTCATTGCTGTGAGGAAATACTCTGACCAATACCAACTTAGGGAGGAAAGGGTTTATTTAGCTTACGTCTCCCAGGTCACAGTTCATCAGGGAGCCCAAGGTAGGAACTCAGGGCAGGAACCTGGAGGCAGGAGCTGGAGCACAGACCATGGAGGAATGCTTCTTACTGGCTTGATCTCCTGGCCCCTGCTCAGCCTGCTTGCTTATGCAACACAGGCCCACCTGCCCAGGGATGGCACCACCCCCAGTGGGCTGGACCCTCCCACATCACTCAGTAATCAAGAAGATGTCCCACGGACATGGCCACAGGACAGTCCAATGAAGAAAATTTCCCAACTGAGGCTCCCTCAACCCAGGTGTGTCAAGTTGACACTAAAGCTATCCAGCACACTGAACCAGAGAAAATGAATCACGGTTGTCATCTTAGCCTATTTAGCTAAATCTACTTAGCTGACATACCAAAATACCTATCTCTGGTGGCTTATGGTCAACAAGAATGTATTTCTTAACAGTTTAGTAGCTGGGAAGTCTAAGATCAATATGCTGATAGGCTGAGTGTGTAGTGAGGTCTCTCTCTCTGTCTCTCTCTCTCTCTGCCTTACATTTGGCACCTTCGTGCTAAATCCTCACATGGTGCAATAATCTATTGATCTCCTTTGGGCTTGTTTTATAGGGGAGCTAACCCTATTCATAAGTACTGTCCCCAACAACATGAACATCCCCTCGAATACCCTCCTCTTAATATTACTACGTTGGAGATGGATGTCATTGTAACAACCTTCTGATGACAGTGGTGCCATCTGCCAAAATGGAAGCACAGTGATTTTAGTACTAACTTCCAAATAAGGAAACAGATGTCTTAGGAGTTACATATTATATATCAATGTTCAGCCACGAATTTCCTTGGAAAACTCATAGCTTGTTATTGATAATAATTATGGACACTAAGACTTCATATAATGTGTCATAGTTGCATTAAGAAACTAGCATAGTGTGCATTTGTAAATATGGGTCAAAATGTGATGTAAATTACTAAGGTGGAATTTCAAAAAAAACCATTTCCTTTAAAATGATCTTTTAATAGTCTTCGTATTCTTTACTTTCTCTTATTTTTCTATCACTTCAGTGGTTTTTCTTCTATGATTTGGTCACAGAAGAAGTCTAGTCTAGAACTAAAACTTTCTTTGTGCATGGTGTTCAGAAGATGACTTGATCAGAAAATTGCTTGCTGTATAAGCATGAATACCCGAGTTTGTAATCCCAGTGTCCATCTGAAAGTCATGAGTGACAGAATGCACCTGTAATCTCAGGTCTGGGGAGGCTGAGGCAGGAGGATCCCTGGGGTTTGTAGGCCAGCCAATCAGTCCAGAGGACTCCTTCAACTCCAGATTTAGTAAGATACTCTGTGTTGAGGAAGAGAAGGAGGAGGAAAAGGAGGAGAAGTAAGAGGAGGAGGAGGAAGAAGGGGACGGGCAGGGAGAGGGGGAGGTCGAGGGGGAGGAAGAAGGTGGAGAGCAGCTGCAGTTGAAGAAGATACTGGACCTCAGCCTCTGGCCTCTACATACTTGCACATACATGTACACACAATCACACAAACACATATATCCTTCCCCATGCAAATATCAAATATACATAAAGCTTATGCTTTTTCCTTTAATAATGACATTTGGAAACTGGAGTTCTTTCTTTTTTTTGAGTGCTGGTAGCGGTGGGGATGTTTTGCTATGCTTTGTCTGTTTTAAGCGCTTGCAGAGCAGTTCCCCTGCAGCTGGAGGAGGGGTGTTTGCCTTCCCCATCACGGTCTCACCCCAGCAGAAGAGCTTGTTCGTGGCACCATGAGCTGTTCTGATTTAGCAGCGTTCTTCTAGTGTCAATCATGCTCTTCCAAATGCTCATCATGTTCTCTGTATTCCTGGAAGATGCTGCAGAACACGAGCAGCCTTTTTCCCTCCCTGGGCTCTTGACATGGAGAATTAGTGTGCTTTGTTTCCCCCTCTAAGCAAACGTGTTGTTTTCCATAATCAGAGAAGTAAATGTGGGAACACGCTACTGCTTCATCATGCCTTATTTCACCGTATAGTCTCTTTTAAAAGGCATCAGTGTTCACATATATGCACAGGGGAACATTACGGCAGATCATAGGCTGTTAAAATGCACTGAGACAGTGCTGAGCAGAACAGAAGTTTAGTCGTGCTATGCTCAGGTGCCACAGGATGCCACCCCCATCCCCAGGGTACCACTGATGGTTATGGACAACCTCCTTGTAAAACCAAAACCTCTTTTCTTTTTCCTCATTTCAGGTAGATGCTCTGAGATTACGGCTGGAAGAGAAAGAATCCTTTCTCAATAAGAAAACAAAACAGTTGCAAGACCTCACAGAAGAGAAGGGGACCCTCGCTGGAGAGATTCGAGACATGAAAGATATGTTAGAAGTGAAGGAAAGGAAAATCAATGTTCTGCAGAAAAAGGTGAGATGCTGATACAAACTCTCCCAAGTGAGGGTTGGTATTTTGTACGTTTTAACATTTCAGAGAGATTTGTAGAAAATTATCTTTACAAATTTAGACTAGAAAGTATCAACTTATGCCTGCTGGTATTTAATTTACTAATAGTAATATTATTTTTAGCCTGCCCCATGCGTTTTCTATTTGATTACCTAAAAACTAAATGAAGACAATTCTTTTTGTTTGTTATTGTAACACTAGGTAATTATATAACATTATATGCAAAAACTTAAAATAGTAGGGCTCAGTAGGGGAGAGCAGGAACTAAGCTCAGCACTAAGAGCATGTGGTAGCCATGTGCTGGGCCCCAAGTTCAGTCTCCACCACTGAAAAGACGAGACAGATATACAAATAAAAAGTCCAACATGCTAATTTTTATTTTTATTTTTATTTTCCTTATTGAGGGCTGAATAGTATATATGGGGGGGGTTCAGTGTCTTTTAATGCATTTCAGATATGTATATATATATATATTTTATAGTTACATAAACTTTGGTGGACTATATCCTGTCGTCTTTATCCATTCCTGCTACTCTATCAAAATATCTGAGACCGAGTAATTGATGAAGAACAGACACTCAGTTTCTCATAGTTCTGGAGGTTAGAAAGTCAGGGATCATTTGTGGGCAGGTTTGGTGTCTGGTAAAGGTCTTCCTTCTGCTGCCAAGTTGGCCCCTTGTCACTGCAACCCCCGCAAGGGGTTAATGCTGTACTGTCACAGAATGGAGAGGATGGAGGGGTGCAAAGGCCAAGCTAGCTCCCTTTGCCCTTTTATAGTGGTTTAATACCATTAAGGAAGTCATGAGATAGTCTTTCCCCCAAGGGCTTCACCTATTAATACAGTCACACTGAGACTGTTTGGATGTATATGGTTTGAGTGTCACACTCAGACTATAGCAATAACCAAATCCATGTAAAACTATTTATGTTTTACTCATTTGGAATCAGTGGAGAGAGTGTACAAGAAGTTCTGGCACAATGATCCAACAAGATGTTCAGCCTCATTAGGGCCCATCTTTTCTCCCTTCTTTAAGTGGCCCATTTTATATAGGGGACCTTGATTTTGTAACATCGTCATAATTTACTTTTGGAGAATTCCCATTTGCTGTTTTGTATGTCTTATTGAAAAAGAGTCAGCAAAAAGAGAAGTCCATTCCTGTTCTCCTATAAAAAGCAGTGTTAGAATTATACAGAGCTTTCAGAGTACTAGAGAGCTATCATGGAAGCCAGGTGGTCAGCAGAGGGAGATGGGAAGGCACCAGGAAGTCACTGTAGATAGCATGTTGTTGGACCCCATGCTGCAAGTATAGACACATGGAACTAACTGTCCTCTCCTTTTGGTGTCATTTGCCACCATCTCGCACCTGGCCTACACTACCAGATGTTTTCTTACATCTACCCTTGTGGTTCCTACACTCTGTTCTTAATATAGCAGCCTGTTTTCTTTTTAGACCCTAAAACAATTTATGGCACTCTCTCATTAAAACTTCCCAGTTGCAACTATATATATGAATTTTAGGTCCAGTATAAGTAAAAATGTGGAACTTTTGGCCCCCAAATTGGGAATTTTAGGATAGTAATAATAGATCATTAAACCAGGGATGAAACAGGGTCCGGTGGAGCTGCATAGGTCACAGGTCCATGAAGCTGATCCATCCAAGTGTCTTCTACTTTCACAGAGACTAACAGTAGAGTCCTTACAGAGATCCATAGTACACTGTATGAGTGGGCCTCCTCATGTTAAATTCCCTTCACTCATGTTAAATTGGTCACTGTGGCCTGTGCGCCCTTCTGTAGAGACATGCGTTCTCTCTCATAGCTCCGACATTTACTTTAAGTGGCACACGTTCTGGATGTGCACTCCCTATTATGGTAGATATCAGCTGTTAAGCTCTGGAGTTGAAATGTGTTGTAAGTGTGAAAAGCATACCAGATTTTGAAGACCTATCATGAAAAGCAGAATTTGAGAGTACTCATCAGAAATTTCTATATTATTGATAATGAAAATATTCTGGATATACCATGTGCATAAATTATATTCTTAAAACTACTTGTATCTTTACCTTTAAACTTTTTATTTATTTGTTTTTATTTTATGGGTGCAAGTGTTTTGCTTGTGTGTATAAGCACACCTATGTCATGCAATGCTAGCGGAAGCCAGAAGAGGGCATCGGATCTCCTGGAACTGGAGTTATGGATGGTTGTTAGCCACCATGTGGGTCGTGGGAACTGAGCCCTGGTCCTCTGCAAGAGCAGCCAGTGCTCTTATTGCTGAGATATCTCTCTAACCCTAGAACTTTGCTTGTTAATGTGATGATTAGGAAGTTTAAAATTACATATGTGACTCCCACTATATTTCTGCTGGACCAACCTGTCGTAAATATCTGCATGGTTTGTGCTTTGCTTCTTATGGGTCTCTGCTCAAATGGCACTTTATCTTTGACCTTTGCCCCTTGAACATAAAATGGCGTATGCACATTCCAACCCTCTGTTTCCCCCATACAATTTTAATTTTCTAAGTAGAACTTATCACCGTCAGAAAAATTATACTTTAAAGTTTTTTCATTCCTGTTATCAGAATTTAAATTCCAGGATTTGAGCTGTACTATTTTACACTGCCGTATCTTTAACACACAGAAGGTGTACTCAATAATTATTTAATGAATGAGTGAATAAACTTACTCCATAGTTAAAGTCTTGAACAGGAGCGTTTGATTGGCCAAGGTTAGGTTTCACCCCCATCTCCTATCAGCAGGAAAAGCTTTGCCAGTTTGACTCAAGAACAGAGCTGTACAAAGATGACCACAGTCGGCACTCTGTGATGAGATTATCAGTGAGCTTCTAGTATCTAGACCCCATCACCATTCCATGTTTCTGCCATCCTATGGGAATACTCTTCCAGTGTATTCCTGTTCTGTCATGCTCAACCAGAAACCTAAATTTTACACTCACGCACAGAAGAATGTGACTTTCATTTCACAAAATAAAGTTACATTAAATCATTGAGACTCGAAAAAAGGTTAGAAAGCATTTGTCTAGAACTCTTGGGATAGTGGTTTTTTGATTGATTGTATTGCTAATTCATTTTTGTTAAGATAGTCACAGACAGGGCCTTGGCCACTAGATCCCCATCTCAGAGCATCAGATAATTGATATAGATGGTTAGAAGAGACCTGTGCAGAGGTAACTAATCACCCTTGTATGGAGGACCTGTGTCCGGAAAGCAGGACTAACAGAGATTGTCATACAACAGGAGCTAGAACCTGTCTAAGGATTCAAAAGAAAATTCTATTAGTTTCTCTTGTTGTTTCTATGACCAAAATACCTGAAAAAATCAAATTAAGGGAGAAAATATTTATTTTGGCTCATAGTTCCACAGGATTCCATCTGTTGTTGGCTGGTTCCATTGCTTGGGTCTCGAGGTGAGGCAGAGCATCGTGGTAGCTAGAGAGTGTGGCAGAGGGAGCTGTTCATTTCATGACAGCCAGGAAACACAGAGGAAGGGGCCAGGGACAAGATAGACCCTTCCAGGACATATTCAGACATGCTTCCTCCTCCAGCTTCCTTAAGTTTCCACCACTTCCACCATTCTCCAAAAGTACATCTAGTTGGGGACCAAGCACATGGCCTTTGGGGAAACATTTCAGATCCAAACCATAAAAACGTTTATGTTTAAAACTCTTGGCAATGAATGAAAACCAAAGCTGATGTCTTTTGAGCTTAGATGTATTGAGTATTGAATGCTGAGTGTTGGATACTCTATTACGTGCTGTTTAGTTACTCTTGACCCTAACCTGGTGATCTGCATCCAAGTATTAACCTAAGGAACTGAGGAATTGGGCTAAATGGTAAGCTTTCTCAAAGTCATGTAACCTAGAGTATTTTTTTGTCTTTGATTATAGAATAAAATGAATAATGCAAATTAAGTAAACTTCATTTTTCTTTTGACCTTATTCTTTATGATTATGACACCAGGTATGTGAGTGAGATGAGGAAGAATATCTGTTTACCAGGAGTTGAAACTAAGTGTTCTCATTCTTGAGTAATAAATGACAGTGATTGGTCAGTAAAATTTTGAGATGATACTTCTAATGTCTAAACAACAAATAACCACTTTGACTATTGTGCATATTTTGCAGAACTTTACACCTTCCCCCCTCCAGTAGACTCAAAGGTTTACACCTTCCCCCAGACTCAAATGTTTGAGTACCAGTTTTGAAGTTCTACAATCTAGAATGATATTCATATATTATATAATAATGTTATGTGTTTAAATCAAGTACATAATGGATTTGGAAATTTAAAGAGGTTTATCAGTTTCATTTTAGGACATATTTTTCTTCTTTCCTTCTTATTTTCTTATAGGTACATGGGTGTGTATCATGGGTGTTCACATGTGTGTGGATATACCATGTATGTAAGGGTGTATGTGTGTATGCACATTTGTGTGACGATAGCACATTTGTTGTTCAGTCTGCACCTTATGTATTGAGGCAGGCTCTCTTGCCATAGCTCACCATTTTGTCTTGTCTGGCTAGCCCACTTGCTCCAGGGATTCCGTCTCCAACTCCCGTGGACTACAGTCACAAGTGGGCTTCCAGATTCACCTGGCTTTTGCCTGAGTTCTAGGGGTCCAAACTCCAGTCCTCATGTTTGGCAATCACTTTATCCGTCGAGCCATCTCCTAGCCCACATGTCTTCCTGAGTGTTTAAGGACACATTTGAGGAAGTAGTGGAGCCACTGGCAACGTGGGGGGCAAGATCTCAATTAGCCCTGGAATAAGACGTTATCTACAGAGAAGTGACTCTCACAATTCAGAAACTGATTCAAAATGTGGAAGTAACAGCTGCCAGGGCTCAAGTGAAGCATTGGAGCCAGAGACTCTGTGGGGTTTTGTCCACATTCAACGTAATTGTCTCCCATAGAGCAGGCCTGGATTGGAACAGCACAAGCTTTGCATTAG